TGGCATCACAGCTCACAGCAACCTCCAACTCCTGGGCTCAAGCGAGTCTCCTGCCTCCACCTCCCAAGCAGCTGGGACCACAGGCACCCACCACAACGCCCGGCTATTTTTTGGTTGCAGCCGTCATTGTTGCCTGGCGGGTCCAGGCTGGATTCGAATTTAGGTGTACGTGGCTGGTGCCTTAGCCGGTTGAGCTACAGGCGCCGAGCCGCCAGGGCTTTTTCAATGTAAGGATTTTGAGATTAGATCATGCTAAATTGTCTGTATGGGCCTTAAATTTAATGTTTCCTTTAAAAAAAATTTTTTTTTGGCTTGGCACCTGTAGCTCAAGTGGCTAAGGCGTCAGCCACATACAACAGAGGTGGCAGGTTCGAATCCAGCCCAGTCCTGCCAAACAACAATGACAACTACAACCAAAAAATAGCCAGGCCTTGTGGTGGGCACTTCCTATAGTTCTAGCTACTTGGGAGGCTGAGGCAGGAGACTCGCTTAAGCCCAGGAGTTGGAGGTTGCTGTGAGCTGTGATGGCATAGGACTCTACTCAGGGCAACAGCTTGAGGCTCTGACTAAAAAAAAAAATTTTTTTTTTCCAATTTTTTATTACTTGTACCTTGCTATTCATGTACGACAATAAGTCTCCTTTCAAAGAGACACGGTGGACAGATAGATAGAGAAGAGGAGAAAACCATGTGAAGAAGATGGGGGTGGCGATTGGAGTGATAAGGCAGAAGCTTGAAGAAGTGAGGAATGGCACCCCCTCGGGGCTTCTGCAGGGAGCACAGTCCTGCTGGCACTTTAGAGTTCTGGTCTCCATACTGTGAAAGAACAAACAAATCTTTAGCCACCACCAAGTTTGTATTAATTTGTTATAGCAGCCCTCTGAAACTAATATAGCGGGTATAATCTCCTAATTTCCAAACATAATCCTCTCTGCTCCATTGTATGTTCCGAATGACCATTATATAGTGGTCATTTTGTATGTCCTGTATAACTGGGATCAATCATTGCAGCCAATACTATAACCTCCTCTTTGCTTGCTGGTCAGCAACACGAGAATCCCAAAATGGACAGGGTGCTGTCTCAGCTTCCAGACCAGTAAAACCATTACTGTGTTCCCTTGGGAAACAAATCCTCTAAACTAATAGAGAACAAAGTTGTGGGGATGGGAAGCAAAGCTTTTGTGAGTAGGTAGTATTGGGTAAGCGCTCCCATTGTTTTCTGTGCCTGAATCCTAGCTTCATGTACTCTGGTTATGGGAAAGTCCACTGAATATTGGTTTCTCCGTACGCTACACCATGGTGGACAGTCCCACACCCACAGAAGGCGACGGCCACACAGACACAACAACTTAGTCTTCAGTAGGCAGCAGCTTTTGGATAATTATGCCTGGTTAGATCATTGAATCTTATGGTATGGACCTCTTTCTTGTTTCATTTTTTGTAAAATGAATTCTGTGGTCAGGATCATTGTGGGATGTTACAGTAATGAGTAAGACATTCAGTAAGTCCAGGAGCAGTGGGACTGGAAGAAACATTGTGGGTTAGGAGGGTAGACCCCAACCTAGCACAAATTTTAGATACTTGCAGATCAAGTGTCATCAGAGGACTTTGGATATAGTCTGGATATTACTACATAACTCATAGACCTCAATGAGTAGATACTCCAGCTAAAAAGTAGGTGAAAGATTTGAATAGGCATCTCCCCTGAGAAGATAGGGCTAATAAACACATGCAGAGGT